TGGGTATTCTGAGGGCATTACTACAGAATAAGTTCTTCGGGAGGATGGAAATCACTCTTCAATGTTTTTTATTTTACTTTAAAAAATGTACTTGCTGCCAAACTCCCAGAACAAATGTATATCATTAAAATACATAAATAAAAGCCAGGAGGGAAGTAAAATAACAAAACCAAGAATGTACTAACGAAATGCTTCGTATGGCACACCAAATGCGAATAAATTTAAGCTCATAGAAAACTGAAGGAAAATTACCAAAATAAAATATTCATTCAACTAAATTGTCCCAACTCTGAGTAATCCGTGTTTCATGAAGAGTCTTGGAGAATAAGCTGCTAGTTCCCACATCTAGACAGAAACCAAAAGGTGCTGTAAACAGAACAAGAGCAATTTCTGATTTTCCCTTTAAGGACATTATCCACTTAGATATTTTTGATGTCTTAAAAAAAAGCAAACAAACATAGCTCTCCTCCTCACGCAGCAGTACCACTGTTGCCTGACTAAAGAATTGAACAGTGACCTTTCACGAGATTTCATGCAAAAAAATATAAACCCTAGAATTTCTACCAAATAACAACTTTCTATAATATTATTATTTGTGTCTAATATTACTATTTACTCCTAATGTAAATGCAAATTTATAGTCTTACTTTCATTCTTGATGGAAACTTGGCAAGTAGTTATTCACAAGGAGCCATAGGTTCCTTGGGGTCAACTTATATATGTAAGTGGGTACTCTCTTGTTTTGTAAAGGCATAAGAACACCTGCTTGTATTTTGCTCTGACCATTTCATTTCCCAAAATAACCAGGCCAGAATTAGGCAAGGGCAATAGAAAAGTAGTGGGTGCTCATCATGAAATGTCAGACTATCCAGGCACTGGAAAGTATTGGAGAGGCTATGCAGTATATATAAAATATATATACATTATACATACAGTATATTGTATACACACAAGCACACACGCACCTATATGACAGCAGATAACAGCAGAGAATCAGGTATGCTAAAGTCTGGTGTCGAATTCTAAGTGGCCCTTTGATGCATGCGTCACTCTGCAGTACGGTTTACCTTTCATGAACAGGGGGACATCTTAAAGGGTGAGGGACAGAGACAGGGGGTTCCCGTTTATTACTATTACTTCTAGTACACTGTATGTTCTTCATTTCCTAGACCCTTACTGAACAAGACTTTGAAACACTTCAGCAATAAGATTTTTTACACAAAAATACCCATTATGCATTGACCAGGGAGTCAAGAGACCAAACAATGAGTGGGCGCACCAAAATAATCCTTTGTTTGCATTTTGGTACTACTTCACCTGATTGCTTAATTCTGGCTATCTGGAGTACATACATGAGGGATAAAATATGGGGAAAAGACATCCTTCTGCCTACTGCCTTGACTTAGTTTGTAAATGTGGTTTTAACCCCTGGGTTGCAATAGAAAACCTGGGTTGAGCTGTAAAATACACAAGAGGCATGACCTGGGAACTTTTGCACAAAGACGAGAGGGCTTAATGGATGGATGTGTAGAAGAATCAGAGGTGTCAGTGTGGACAAAGAAAGTACAAAAGACATTCAGACATACCCTATGGACACCTGCATAATTGCCAAAGTCAAGAATATTAACCTTCTTCATATACATAGTATATAGTATTTGGATTTTATGTTTACAAAAGCAAAATCTGGCCAGAAAGCTGAAGAAAGTTCTCTTCCAAAGGGAGAAAAAAGATTTATACAATTGATACAATTTTCAATTCTCTCCCAGTTGTAAATGTTAGGACTAATGAAGATATAAGTAAAAAAAAATGACGTTTTACTAAAGTTGGATAATTTAAATTAATTTAGGTTTAGCTTCCAGACCTCCAATGAATATTTGCAATTATCAGGACTACCTTTCAAATGTTGCCCAATACATTAATTAAAAACTGGGACAGAATATGATACCAACTCAAACGTGGTTTTATGTTAAGTGCATTGGAACTCAGTTTTAAAAATCATGGCAAAAAGTAAAATGCAAAGTTCAATAGAATTAAAATATTTGTAACAGAATAAAGGAAGCAAAAAGCCAGAAATACATTGTTAATGGTCACTGAATTTTTAGCCTGTTTATAATTTAAAGATTGCATGTATCAAGTATAGTTTAAACTGTTGCTGTACTTAATAAAACAAAATGAAGTGTGTTGCCTTTTTATTTCAATTAAGCACTAGTTTCTATGACTTGAGTGCTTCAAAGAGTTTGTGGAAAGATGTTTTTGAATTCTACATTTATTTGGGTTGAAAAGGTTTTTTTTTTGAAATCCATGCATAGTGTTTCTGTGCTGTCCGTTCTCCACAAAGTTCAGGAAGTACTCCAGGATAAGAAGGGACACCAAACCAAGAAAGCCATGGAAAACGCAAATAACAAGCCACAGTCTCTAGGAAAGCAGGCTAAGAGGCAGAACCACAGACCAGAAGCTTTGGATTAAGACACTGCAGCAATAATGCAAAATGACTCAACAAGTAAGAAGTTACCAAGCAGAAAGTCAACAGATTGTGCTTCTGGGCTCAAAACCAGAAATACTTCGCAGTGTACACCACGAGGAAACACTTCTTTTTCAAAAAGCATTTTTTTTTAACCACACTCCCCAAACCTCTAATAAAAACATTTGGGAAAGGTAAATTTTCAGAATCACATTTACAAATAGAAAAAGGAACTGCACACTTGCATAACTGAACTTTATTCTGGTCCAAAAAGAAAGGGTGAAATTTGTGACAGTGATAACTTAATTGATAATTTAGTATTATTATTATTTGGCACTGTAGCAGTAGTAGAAAATTGAGCTTTCAGGAGCTGAGCTAACCAGGATCACATTAGGTCTTCCTAGGTCCACCTGGACGATTCCTTGGACAAACATTTAATTTCTCTCCCTTTGAAATTTGAGCCCTCTCCAAGAACTGCAGGTACTAAAGGATTCATCCTCCCCTGTGTCAGACATAACCTTAGCAAAACCAAAGCCTATCAAATTGACTGACATTATATTCCTAGGTACATTAGAACAATTTGAAATATCTCCATAAAAGGAGAGAAAGTGAAGGACAGAATGCAAGCCACGGAGAGAGATTGTTTCATGAGAAAAATGAAATTGGAAACAAAGTACTAGAGATGCTAAGATAATCATTGTTATGACATCAGCAGAAGTTCAGTGTCATGGTTAACATGTCTCTACAGACGTCCTATGTTCAAATGCCAGGTTCAAGTCCAGAGTCTAGCTCCTACCCCAACTTCCATCTAATCAACAGCATAGAACTCAAAAGATTGTGGTCTCTGTCATCCATGAATGATACCCGGAACTGATTTCGATGTGGCTCAGCCATGGCTCTTGGAAGCATTTCAGGGGATTAATCAGCAAGTGGGAATTCTTGACTTCTACCTCTGCCTCCTTGCTTGCTTGACTCTCTCTCACATTATACCTTTCAAATAAAATTTAGATAAATAAAAATTTGTGAAATAGAAAAAGTATCTGGCTCAGTCCTGTGAAATAGCTTTACTTGTTTTATTTTAACAACTAGTAAAAACTATCTCATTTCTAATATTTTTCTTAAAAGGAATATCATTAGCTATTGAATACTGTCATCACATTATGTCAACACGACTTCAGATAGGTTCATAAATGCACAAGATTTGTTTTCCAAACTGGTAAAAACAAGGAGTAGATTTATCTTCAGCTGCTTTTTGTAACAATTAACAAGACATCTCACTTTGTCTCAGTCTGAACTGACAGATTGTAGTCTCCTAAACGGAGACCATGGGGGCTCTTGACTGAGACTGTATTTGTAATTTGCAAATCAAAGGCAATTCCCAGGTCATCCTTGGTTGTACTCCTGGGGTCTCACTCACAGCATCACCCCTAAAGAAAGACTTACTATCCACCAACCAAGGTATGTACCTAAGAAGCTTCAGGGAAAGAGTGTGAGGATGCTGCCAGCTAGTTGGAGAAAATCGCAGCCATGGAAAATGTCACACCAACGCGAGTACCAAAAACGCAAGGTGAATGTGTCTACTACAACTCAGGGACCAATTTGGAAGCAGCGACGATGTGGAGCATTGAATGTACACATAGAAACTATCAGCAGGTCTTCCCTGCACTGTCTCTGTTGAGTCAGGACTGAAGAGCAGCTCTGTTACACTTGGGCAACCTAGCATTACCAACAGGACATGGTCAGGCTGGCCTGAGTTTGCTAGTCTAGTTTACACAAATCATAGGCAGGTACATTCATTTCTTAGAGCAGTAGTCTTTAAGCAACCCTCAAAGCTGTGAATATTAATATTATCAGTAGTTTCTAAAGATCTGAATACCTTTGACTATATTTTTTCTGGATGCTCTAATGAGAGAATTCAGTGCTGGAATCACAGTGACAAAATTGTTCTCTTTTACACTTCTTAATCCAAAATGCTTACTTAGTGGATACAACAGAGATGAAGTTGACTATATATAATCTAGAAATCAAAATGGGGTTTACGCTTCATGTTAAAGACACTACAAACATGATGTAAAAAGTGCTATATCACTGTAATAGTCAACTTTAAAGTAACAGAATCCATATCATTTTTAAACAAGCCTGTCTTCTTAAACGTGATATATTTCAAATCATTCTAAATGTCACTTAAAGTTTTAAAAAGAAAATTCCCACATGAAAACTGAAGACAAGCTGCAATGTGACAAAACCTGAATTAGAATTACTCTAACAATGAAAAATGGAGCTAAATCTTTCAAAATCAATCTTTCAGGCAAAGCACAAATGCAAAACAGCTTGGTTAACTCAGGTTTTTCAAAGATATTACTATAAAAATAACAGTGTCAAGAACATTCATGTTTTTGCTAAAAATAGACAATGCTATAAATGTGTGTGAGAGGAGCTGAAAAACTCCCTCTTCAAAGAAAATGCCTTTCCTATCCACCCAAGATCCTTGAAGACTAGGCTACCTACAACAAAGAGAAGCAGAAACCATTTTGCTTACCGTCAAATTTCTTATGCCTGGACACAAACGTGGTGCGCACGAAATGGCTCGTCTCCTCCACCAGGTTTTCAAACTCCAGTTTGCTTTGTTGACTTAATTTGTCTTCCATCTCTGTGGTGCAACACGTGTACTCCTGTGGGCAGATTCTTAAGTGTTCCCCTGCAATGAGGAACTCAGCGTCAGCATGCAATGGTCAGGACTCGGGGTAGATTTCAGAGATGCTGCTTGTCTAAAATTTCATTCTACTCCACGGATATTTGTCCCATCTACTTCTGCAGCCACAAGGTGGGAGAGAGGTGGTGTGGGCGTGTCACATATTTGTGAGAAATCACAATACAGTCAGACTGAGGGTGACCCTGATATTTAGTGAAATGACATTGTAAACCATAAAACATCCTGGTTTCATTTTTTCCCCCTGCTTTTACGTAAAGTGTACCAAATTATGCCAGATGACTAAATGTCGCACAGTGGTACTGGTGTCTGTTTTGGGAACCACAAAGACATTCCATCCCATCACCATAATCTGTTGGACTGGGAAGGCAAGGAACAATGCTTCAATGTCATTATGTTCTCTTCTCACTAATCTGAGGGATTCAGTAGCTTTGTTCTAGGCTTTAACGAGAGTGTTTTTCATGGTATTTCTCATATGCCATACATTCCTCATGTGGCATTTCCTGTTAGACAGAAATGTTTCCCCTGAATGGAGGAAGGCACTGATGGGTACTTCATAGCCCCGTTCTACTGAAATGCAGACAAAAGAGAGAGTCCTGCATATCTATTTTTGGTACCAAGTCACTTCTTTAGACATCCTTGCTTTCCTTAGTGCTATTTGCAGGCAGAAGCCACTCCTTGACTTTTGAAATGAAAGTGGTCTGTTACTGCATGAAAACATGAACTTGGAATTGATACAACTCAGTAACAGAAAACTGACCGAAGTAGGAAAATCTACTTGATATCTTGCTGAATCAAATCTAAAATTTCCACTATGATTAAAGTCACTGAAGGGCACTGAAAACCCAATGATCAGAGTACCAGATATTATAATTAAAAACCTCACTTAAAATACTTAAGACAAGTGCATCTTCTCACCCTGGTTGAACTACAGGGTGTGTTAAGGTACGTCACATAATATGACTCTTAAATTCCTACTTAAACCCAAGATAGAAAATGGTCACAAATACGTATTAATCTAGGCTTTCCATAATTTCCAGAAAGAAGAGAAACCACAGAAATTTTACTTATTAAAGGAAAGGCAATGCACATTCTTTGGGAGGGTACACATCAAACTCAGGCCAGTATTCCCCTCCCCAGGAGGGATTAGAACTGGAGATAAAAGCTAACAGGGCTTTATCTAGAATCTTGACCATATTCCTTAAGCTATTTGATAGACATATGATATTTATTATCTTTACTTTCTGTGTGTGATTAAAATATTTTATAACAAAGCAGTTGCAAATAAACTTGAAAAAACAGTATTCACTACAGTTCTGCTAGAGGAGAGTGAGGCAGATGGAAGAAAACAAGGTGTGCTTGGCATTCAGAAGTCAGTTTAATATATGTCTTTTCTTTTACACACACACACACACACACACACACACACACACACACACACACACACACACTTCCTGGATCCACCCTTTAACAGTTCCTGTAGCTCTGGTTTGGTCAGGATTTCCTTGTCATCTCACTTAATTCCTCCATTTTCTCCCTCCTGGAATGTAGAGGAGTCCCTACCCTGTTCTCTCTCAGGCAAACTGAACAAAGATTTTTATTTAATAATAGCAAAAACTCATTTTAGCTTAGTTTTCTTCTTCAAGTTTTGGAATATGAGACACTATGTGGATCGATGCCATTGATTTAAACTATGTATCTATTCCTCTTGTTTCTGTCTTTGTATCTGCCTATCTTTGTCATTATCTCTCTAGCTTTCCTCTGGCCAGGGATCCTAAAAATGAAGAAAAATAAACTGACTTCTGAGAACATTTGCAGTTCTGTGAGCAATAGAATACTGTATTGAATTAATAAGGCCGGGTGCTATAGTCACTATCACGGCCTTATCAGCACACACACACATACACACACAAATGAAATAAATTTGGTTTAACATTCCACATGTCTACTATAACTCAATGCTTTTATTTTTCCCCACTTGATATAAAATACTGACTGTCTTAGAGTGAACCAAAATTATAATGACCCCACTGGATCTAATTCCATGGATGCAGATCAAGGAGATTTCTTTCACAAATACTCCAAATATAAATATTTCTCTTAGACAGAAATGTTCATTTTCTTTTCTCAGTTATTCACCAAAAGCCCCATGCATTTTTATTGCAAACTCTGTTTTCATGATTCAAAAGCAGAATGCCAACCTAATATGTTGAATCTTTCTGAAAAATGAATTTTTCCTTTGGCAAAATAGAGGAGGGAGGGATAAGAAACAGAACAGGATTGAAAAAAAATGGTTTATATCAGGTCAGAGAAAGGAACATACTGAAAAGTTATTAACAGTAAGTATCTGTGAGTACTGAAATGTCATTTTTCATCCCTAATGACAACATAAGTAGATTTTGAGCTATTAGTCTCCAAACACCTAAGTCTGATACGGAGATCTGAAGATACTGAATTTGAGTGTGTTTTACCCTTTTCCGAAGTTTATACTTATTACTTAAAAGTAAAACTTAAGTATCATAAGAATTACGTGTCAACTGAAGCATGAATCATAGCAATAGTTATGTGAACTTATTATGATTATTTTTTAATCCAAACCCAGTCTGGGCACTGGTTCCTTAAATTTCCTGATAAGCTTGTTTTCTGAGTGGATAAGGCTCCAGTTACAAAGCACACAAGCCACTCCTTTTGTTTGCTCTGTCATTCTTCACAATATAATGAAGTGCAATCCAGTTTTGAAAAGAATCCCATGGCTTAATTTTTATCACATTATTTGGGTATTTTAAAATGATCCTGTCATATCTCTTGAAAATTTTATCTTTTTGCTATGGTAAGTTATTAGTAACATGTGCATGCGAACACGAGGTGATCGAATGTTAACACATTGCTCATGGAATTAATGATGACAGACATGATAACAAGGCAAGGAAAATGTTAAACACAACACCTTGTTCACTAAATTAGTTACTTTCACTTTATAAATGAAAATGTGAGCTATCACTGCTATAATTGACAAATACCATTGCAATGATATCAAGTGTCTTTATTATTATAAAAGTATGATAAGAAGGTAAGCAGAAAGACAACAACTCCTTCTTTGTAAATTTAAATATTGCTTGGTAAGAACAAATGAGGGATCAGAGTTGTGGCACAGTGGATTAAAACGCAGTCTGCAAGTGCCAGCATCCCCAGTTTGGGCCCAGGCTAAGCCTCTCCTTTTCTTTATTTATTTCCTTCCAAGACTTATTTATTTTTATTTGAAAGGCAGATTTACAGAGAGAAGGAGAGCTTTCATCTATTGATGCATTCCCTAAGTTGATGTAGCTGTGCATGGCAGCATTAGGGACTACTGGCAAGTAAATTCACAAGGAGATGATGGAATGTGGGCCATGTCTGATTTTCTTTTGAATACACGATGGGAACGGAAGGTAGGGGAGAGCGGAAGTGTCAGCAGGCAGATCCCTCCTTTCATTAACCTGAAGCCACTGATACTATCAAGAACGATCCCATCATGGGGACCTGGCAGAGGCACTAAGGGAAGAGCCACCCTCTCATGTTCATTTCTTTTCCACTTACCATGTTCTATACATCATGGCTCTGGGACAAATTCCATCTACCACTGGGTATAGCAGGAACTGTAGTGAATGGTTGGGTGTAACCCTTTTTAACAATGTCTGTGAATTTTGTCAAAGTTTTATTAGAACACGACAATGCTCATTCCCTTAGGAATTGCTTATGAATATTTGTTACAAAGGCATCACCACAGTATGACAGACAACACATGCCCTGTGATCTTCCAAATTCTTTAATTTCTGTAGTTGTCAATGATAGCTACATTGAAAACAACTCTGGCCTTTCCTGTTAAAATGAACCCAGATTGCAAGTATATGGAATTTATCTCAGCATGTTCCTGATGTGAGCATTTGATGTAACAGTGAGATTATCCCCAAATTATAATTTATTAAGGAAGAGAAAGTCCAGTCCTTTTGGAGTTTTCCACTTGCATTCCTTTCTCAGACTGGCTTAGGTTCCTTACAACAATCCTGAAGCAGAAGTAGATGTAAGATTCAACAGTTGTGGAGCAGAGTGAGACAACTCCAGCTGCTAGGTCCACTAGCAACAAAAATGATCAGGATAAGATGACACAAATACAGTCAACAGGAAACTGAAACCATGGAAACTGTGCCTTTATTCATCCAACATTCGTTCACAATGTGTACGTGTAAATCATGACAGGTTCCTGTCCAGAAAACCAGATGCAAAACTGTGTAAAAGGCTTCCACCCCAGATGATGATTCCTTGGGGCACTGGGAGTTAGTGCTGGCGAATGCCCTGGGTCCTGATTCTTACAAAGCTCTTACCTAGGGTAAAATACCTAAGGATGGGGTGGAGATATACAAGTAGTAAATTCCTCCAGAAAGAGGCAGATGAGCTCATGCACATATAATCACACAATGAATTGTCTTTTGTTGCACTAGAAAGAAGGGAGGAGGGCATATTCCTTTCTACGTACATTTGCAATTTAAGTGATCCTGACATTTCAGGTATGGACAATGGCAAAAATTCCAGCATGCTATTCAGAAGATATATTTAATATTTTCATTGGGAGGACATCTTTGATTTGGAAGTAGAGATGCATATTGCATTGTATCTTCACATCTGGATATGATAGTTTCTATTACACAGTTACTATCCACCCCTTAAAAGAAAATCTATAAAACAAAATCAACAGGAAGAAAAATACAAAATTAACAGCAACACGAAGTTAAATAACATGCTACTGAATGGCCAATGTGTCACCAAAGAAATGAAAAAGAAAATCAAAAGCTCTTTTGAAGGAAATGATGCTACTGTGTGACCTATGAATAAGTGATGAAATAATTTAAAAAAAATTTTTGAAGGAATGAAAATAAAAACATCAAGCCCTGAGATATAGCAAAAGCAGTATTGAAAAATTTTGTGTTTGCCTGAAAGTTGCCTGATAACAG